GCGCGGGGCGCAGCAGCGGCCGGCGGCCCCCGGGCTCGCGCGCGTTGCCAAGCGGCCGTTTCCGTAGCAACCCCGCCCGGGGATGGAGGACCAGGCAGGGAGGGGGGCCGGGAAGCAAAAGAGATAGATCAAAAAGAGGGAAAGAGAGGGACAGTGAAGCTAGGGGCGATGGGGGCTAAGCCGAGGTCTGGTCCGGCTTGGCAGCACCAGCGAGAGAGCTGTGCGAGCTGCTTGGCTGGGAAGTCAGGGCAAGGGGGCCCGGCCTGCTCTCCGGTGCGTTCAGCTCCGGGGCCTCCCAGGGCCCCAGACTTTAAAGTGCTCAAGTTGGGGTCGGCGCCATCATGACGCCCGAGACTGTGAGTGAGTTGGCTTTTTGTTGTTGTTGTTATTGTATGTGTTATTTTTAATCCTGACTAGCTAATTGCGCTGTTAATAAACTGCTGCCAGCTAGTACTGTTCTCTCTCTCCTCTCTCTCTCTCTCTCTCTCTCTCTCTCTCTCTCCCTCTCTCTCCCTCTCTCTCTCCCTTCTTCCCTCCCTTCCTCGCTCCTCGTCTTTCTCCGTGCGTCTCTCGTTCCTTCCCTCTGTTATTTTTCTTTAGGGGCTCGTCTTTTCACCCTCCTTTGGAGGTGGGCAGGGACAGTGGCGGCGCTGCTGCTTTGCGGGAATAGTAGAGCAATCTGGGCCTGACAGCTGAGAGCTAGCCTAGCGCGTCTGTGGGTCGCCTTTGCGGACTGGAGGACGCCTGCCCTTTTCTGTGCGTCTTGATACTAACTTGTGCGTGAGTGTGTGTGCGCGTGTGCTGTCAGCACAGAGTGTGCGCGTGTGAGAGGGAGATGGAGTGTGCTGGGCGCGTGTGAGACCAGGGCGCGCGCAGCACGCAGGCGCACTGGGAGGGATGGGCGGGCCTTGCTGGGATGCAGAGTTACAGGAGGCTGCAATCAAGTGTTTTAATTGTGTGGAGCTAGGCGGTCCTGTTATGTAAGAGGCAGTTTAACCCATTTGAGCCTATTGGGTGGAAGGCTCGTACATTCGGATGAATTCAAGACATTCCTCGGCTTTAAGGATTCCCAGTTGTATTTTCCTCACAACCTTCCAGCTGGAGTGGACCCGCATCTTTGAGAGGCGACCTCAGCTCCCCAAGCTGCAGCCCCGCATCCGCTAGCCCACGCCCAGGTCAGGGTAGAGCAGGGTCCTTGGCATGAGTCACCCACAGTCCACTCATTTTTTTTTTTTAATTTTCTTCTCTTCTGGCACTCATTTTCAGCCTGCTAGAGCTCTTCCGGGCGACTTGCAAATCAATGAGAGAATCTGAGCCCAAAGCAGTGGTTCCAGTCTCCGTGACGAGTTTAGGATGGAAGTTGGGAGGGGGAATGGGTAGATAGAAACAACTGACCCTTCCCATCTGGCTCCCCCCGCCCTCCGCCTGTAATGGTATTTTAAAGATAAATAAATAATAATTAAAAAAAACCGCATCCGTCTTGCACTCTGCTCATTTGAACTCCTTTTTTTCTGAACGCCAGCAGGGCCCCGCGGCAGAGCGCGCTGAAGCAATGATCTCTGCAGGGGTCAGCATCCGGCTTCCTCCCCAAGCTGAGCTCTTGACGAGGCAGGGAGGGAGTTGTAGTTGTCGTTGGTACCCAGGGCAGCTTTTTAATTTTTATTTTTATTTATCACCATGTCTAAGGATAGATGGGATAGGGTCAGCAATTCCCACCGCCCGAGATTATCCAGACTGACTTATCCCTAAGCCTCAAAGCAACATCACCTCCCTGTGGAAGATTCCCTGCGAGGCTCAGCAATTAACCGCGGGGTTTGCAGCAGGAACTACTGAGGTGATTAGTATTCAGGCTTAATTCTCAGAACCCCGCTCGGGAATTCAAAGTGCGGTAGTATTCAGCCGCATTTCGAAACATCAATAAAATGTTAGTCATTTGCGGATGAATGAAAACATTTTTCTTTACCGTCTGTTGTGCTAGAGAAATAATTGTCAAATGGCAGCCTCTCGCTAATACTGATGCCAGACACCTAGAGAACGTTCTCCTCTCGTTGACTTCATTTAACATTCTTGGCGGTGCACTCCAGATAAAACCTAAAATTATCGAGAACAAACGAGGTATTAGAAGACCTGACTTCCCACTATGTGGCCAGCCAGGTCCATGCGGTATTATTTCGCTATCGATAAACTAGACGCCAATGAAAAGAGGCAGAAGGATCAGCTTCTGGCTTTGAGCCAAAGTTTAACGATATTGTATGCCAGAACAGGAGAGCCAGCGCCTTGGTGTACAAACCACCGAAAAGCATCTTTTCCTAACTGCCTTCCCCAGAGACTGACATCCTCGATGCTCGCGGGTGGGGGCGTGGGGGTATTTCTGTGGCCAAGGACGGAGCTCTGCAACAAATTTAATATGTACAACAACCCTACAGGCTTGTAAACCGAAACTGGAATCACTTCTATTTAAAGGCAAGAGTTTCTTTTCCGTGTTTCTGGTTCCTATCTCAGCTTCTATTCGATGATCAGAAAATATTTAACTCTTACAGAGCCGATCCAAATAAAAGCAAAAAGGACGCCCGGGTGATAGGTGCAGGGTGTTAGAGTTGCATATAGGTCTGTCCCAGTTAAGGAGTTCTTGGCCCCTACATTTTCACAGTCCTCAAGTCAAGAGGGAAATAACTTTAACAGCTTATTATGGCGGGCTTTCCCCTTGACCCTTTTGAGAGTTCATACCTGAGTGCATTTTATATGGTTTCCAGCATTTGCTTCTGAGGTCCCAGAATTCCTCCCAGCAGAGATACAAATCCTGGAATTCTTGGCTCCTTTTGAGGGAACTCTGGAGCAAAACCAAATAAGAAAACGAGAACGGTAGGAAATCCTACCGGTAGAATAAATAGTACCTCACACTGTCTTAAACATTTTAGGTGGTGAAGACCCTATGGTTGTAGTGGGACACAGGCTTGATCAGAAGTCTTAGAAAGTGACAGAAATTGTATGTCTTACTTTGTAACCATGTGTTTTGCTATTTATAAATCTCAAGTTCTCATATTTGAAGGCTCATCATGACCAATATGAAATTGATTTGGAATAGAAGAGGTAGAGCCAAAAAGCAAAGGCAAGTAACTTTCCATTAACTTACACTTTTTTTTTCTCCTAGTTCCCTCTGACCTATATTTTAAAACACAAAACTGTATTGGAAAAGAAGCTGTTTGGAGTTTTCCTCTAGAATTCAGTGGTGCCAATGAGATTGCTACCATGAGAATATTGGATAGAAATTCACCGTTTTATTTGCTTTTGCTGATTATGAGTAAGCCAACTTCAACTTCCACCTCATTACTCCCTGTGCATAAAAATGTTTAGGCAGGACAGGACCTAGGATCTAACTGAAAGAACTGAAAATAAGAACACCTTTGTAATTCCTGCAGGAGTCAATCCGAGCGCTGTCTGTCCAGGAAATAGGCCAACAGCTCTCTAATTTGCCTACTGATTCATTTTGAGTTAAATCAGTTTAAGTATGAAGCATTTTCAAGTCATTGTGAAACATTAAAAAAATAAAAAATAAATCTTTAGGAAAATTTTTAAAGAGATTCTCAGCTTAGCTCCTAATATTTTTGTTTGTATATTTTTCTTTTTATTTGTTTATCCAAAAGAAAACAAACCATCTTTTTTCGTTTTACTTACCAATCCCAGTTATCACTCCCTCCTCTCCTCCCATTCCCTTCACCTAACCCCACTCCTTCCCCTATCCACTCCTCAGAGAGGATAAGGCCCATTGCTTTGGAGAAGGTCCAAGGCCCTCCCTTGTAGTAAGAAGGGGCCCGGCTTGTTGGGGTATCTGTCCCGCCCAGTACCACACAACCGGCAAGCCCCAAAGGAAAATCACACACAGGACTCCATAAGATTACAAATTGATTGGCCCATTAGGTCAGGATTCCCATTAGCTCCTACAACCTATGTTACCCCACCATCCTTATCTGTGTTAGCCACACGGCTCAATACCTTTCTCAGCTGTCAGCTTACATGTTGCTTCTTTGGTGGTCTGCGCAGGAGTGGCTGAGGAAGTTTCCTCCTCCCTAGCCTTCTCCTATTCTCATTGCCCTGCCTCCACTTCCTGTCTGGTTGACCTACCTATACTTCCTGCCTGGCCAATCAGCGTTTTATTAAAATACATGATTGACAGAATACAGACAATTCTCCCACACCATTTCCCTCTTTTTTTTAAACAAAGGAAAATACCCATTTTTTTATTTTTTTATTTATATTTTTATTTATTTTTTTATTTTTATTTTTTACTTTTTAAATTTTCTTTCTTTTAATTTATGTATTATGTATTCAGTGTTCCGCCTGCATTTCTACCTGCAGGTCAGAGGAAAGCACCAGATCTCATTGCGGAAGGCTGTGAGTCACCATGTGGGTTCTGGGAATTGAACACAGGACCTCTGGAAGAACAGCCAGTGCTCTTAACCTCTGAGTCCTGTGTGTGATTTTTCCTTGGGAGTTGCCGGCTGTGGGGTACCGGGAGGGACAGATACCCCAACAAGCCGGCCCTCATGTTACATATGGCGCCCAGACGTGGATAACTGAATCCACAGAAAGCCTGAGAAAGTTTGGGAAAGAATAGAGTAAAGCATGTTTTCTTGGTAGCAGGAATTTCTCGGGTCTGCTCTGCTTGCTAGAGGCAAGCAAGCGCTCTCATCTAAGAGAGGCTTCCTGACTCAGCTTTAGCTGCAAAACCCTGCAGCTCTTTTAAGAGGTCCTGCCACAAAACACTTAAATGGTGTTGATGAAAAGCTGAACGCATGCTTTTCGGTTATCAGTCGTAGCAGGAAAAAAGCTGTGCCATTTTAAAATGCTGGCTTTCTGGGCCATCCTGCCAGGAAAAACTCTGACTTTCAGGCTGACTGTGGTCTGTGATCAGAATGCTGCAGCTTGCTTGCTGGCAAGGACCTTGAAACACCATAGAGTTGTGGCAGTGAACACAGCTCTGGCTGGTATCTCAGCCATGATGCTGGAAAGCTAAGAAATGGGCTGGATCTAGCTGTCAGAGCCACGGCTTTAGTCCTACCGATACTGCTTAGTAAATTAAAGGCTCATGTGGTCAGAAAAAGAGAGATATACAGTAAAGAGAGATTCAAAGATGAAGAAAACCTCTAAATGGTTTACAGTGTGTTAAAAATATATGCAGGCTAAAGGTTAAAGTCATTAAAAATAAAAAAGAAAGAAAGGGAGATATAGGGTGTGGTGGTACACACCTCTAATCCCAATGCCTGGGAGGCAGAGGCATATTGACCTCTGTGACTTCAAGGGGTAGAGGTAGATTGACCTCTGTGACTTCAAGGTGTGATAGTGCACACCTTTAATCCCAATGCCTGGGAGGCAGAGACAGACAGATCTCTGAGTTCAAGGTGTGGTAGCACACACCTTTAATCCCAGCACTGGGGAGGCAGAGACAGAGGATCTCTGTGAGTTCAAGGACAGCCTGGTCTACAGAGTTATTCTAGGACAAAGATATACAGAGAACCTGTCTCAAAAAGTAAAAGTAAAAATATAAGAAATAGAGGTTAAAGTAAAGCCACATAAAGATGGAAAATACACCAAGAATTTTGATACTGTATGCTATTATGCTTTCTTTGAATTGTTTGAATGCTGAGGAAGGAGCAACAACTGCTAAAAGACTTTTGTTTATAAATGCTGCTGAACTAACCCAAGATAGGCATTTTGAAAATACCTTGGCTTCAAAACTGAGGTCAAAAGGTATGTTACTTTGGAGAAGAGATTTTGCTTTTGTTTCCACAGAAAATGAGAGGTTGTGGATTCATTCTGAGTTAAGAAAAATCAGGTTCGAAAAAGGAAGACCACCTGAGAAATCTCCGACAGGAACAGATGGCCCAGATGTCTGAGTTCTTCATCCAGAACAGGTTCAAGACTGCTGCCTGAGATGATCAAGACTCACAGGATACTCCAGTCAGGACTTGATGATAATTCTAAATTTTCTTTAGGTCCCCATAAGACTATCAGCGCCCCCAACCAGCAGGAAGTAGCCTGAAATACTACGCCCACATTCCCAACAAATGGACTATGGGTATTTTCCTTTGTTTAAAAAAAAAGAGGGAAATGGTGTGGGAGAATTGTCTGTATTCTGTCAATTATGTATTTTAATAAAACGCTGATTGGCCAGGCAGGAAGTATAGGTGGGTCAACCAGACAGGAAGTGGAGGCAGGGCAATGAGAATAGGAGAAGGCTAGGGAGGAGGAAACTTCCTCAGCCACTCCTGTGCAGACCACCGAAGAGGCAGCATGTAACTTGCCCAGCTGAAAAAGGTACCAAGCCATATGGCTAACGTAGATAAGGATAATGGGGTAATATATGTTATAAGAGCTAATAAGTAGCCAGAGCTAAGGGTCAATCAGTTTATAACCTTATGGTGTCCTGTGCATGATTTTTCCTTGGGATTTGCTGGTTGTGGGGTACCGGGCGGGACAGAAACCCCAACAAGCCGGCCCCCTTATACTTCACTCCCTACTATATCTAGGCTAAGCAAGGTATCCATCCAAAGAGAATAGGTTCCAAAAAAGCCAGTACAAGCATTAGGGATAAATCCTGGTGCCACTGCCAGTGGCCCTACACTCTGTCCCAGCCATATAACTGTCACCCACATTCAGAGGGACTAGTGTGGACCTATGCTCTTTTCTTCCCTGTCTGGCTGGAGTTGGTGAGCTCCCATTAGCTCAGGTAAATTGTTTCAGTGGGTGTCACCATCATGGCCTTGACCTCTTTGCTCATATTCTCACTCCTCCTACTCTTCAGCTGGACTTTGGGAGCTCAGTCCAGTGCTCCAATGCAAGTCTCTGCCTCTGTTTCCACCAGTTGCTGGATGAAGGTTCTATGGTGATGTTTAAGGCATTCATCAGTATGACTACAGGGCAAGGCCAGTTTCGGCACCCTCTCC